ACAAAGTCTTCCTTAACGAGTTATGGTACCTCGTGAGTGTGGTGCCATCCATGCTGATTGACCATGCATCCTCAGTGTACTCTTCAAACATCTTTCGATCTTCATCTTCCTTAGGGGTGCCTATGAGGTTCAGCGGAAATTCCTTGAGCGATACTAGCGTAAGTGTGCGGTACTCTTTGCTGCCATCGAAGATTGTTCCAAACGGTTCCTCAAGTTCCTCAAACATGATGCTGTGATGCAACAGATACCACTGATCATCATCCTCAATAAGCACTGCTCGATATGCGAACTTTCCTGGTGGAAACATCAAGTAAGTATCAACGTGTTCTGAGGTTCCTAGGCTGAAGTGGACTTGGTAAGGGTCTCGCCAGTTGGTCCAACCAACACGCTGTTCTTCAATGAGTTCCTTCAAGTTCTCGCACAAGTACATAGGGATAGGCTTTGCTTCTGCTTCCCAGTTGACTGCTCTCACAAAGGCTTTTGTTGTAAGTGAGTTGTTGTTGTAGTTCACTGCGATCTTGGTTGTTCCTTCTGTTAGGAAAGTGCCTGTTGCTGTTCCATCTCTGAACTCCCAGCCTTTCTTCAACAGTTTACCTACTGCCAGAAGAGGGTGCACAACCGATGAAATCAAGAACACTTCTTCAACCTTCACAATGTTTCCTTGAATATCCCGAAACTCAACTTCAATAATCCTTTGGTCTGAAACCTTAATTCGGGATCCTTGCGCATCTCGCAAAACTACCTTGGTAGTGTTGTGGTGCTTTCCTTCCGTACTTCTTCATCCACATTGGTGCCAACGAAATGTCGGCTCCTGAATCCAGCACAACCTCGATCTCTCGAGTTCTCGTGTTCCTCGCTGCACGTGCAAACCTAGTAATGGTCCTTGAGGGTGCTGTTCTTTCTACTCTGTTCCTTCTAGGAGGATGGTGACATCCGTTCTCACATTCCTGCATGTCTGGGTGCCACGGTGTTTCATGACATCCATTGGGACACTCAAAGTAGTATCCACGGTCCTGAGTTCCTATCAGAGTTCCTTCTAGGTGCCATTGCAACCATGCATCATCACTCACCTCATCACAGTCCTGAAACTCATCATCTTCATCACCAATCCAAAACTCTTCTGTCTCACTTCTCTCTTCCTGAACTTCTTCACCAACAACCCGCAAAACTCTTCCGAAGTACTCAATCTCTATCTCATCAGAGTTCTCACTCAGTCGAATTCCTCCGGAAAGCTTGTGGGCTCGTCTCCCATGTGGTACATGGAGACCATCCTAATCACTGGTCTTTGGGTTCCTTGGCTTGCTTGGCTTTGGCTTGTTGAGGTCTTGTTGGCTGACGAAGGGGCCTGAGTCGAAGTACCTGTAGTGCTCGCTTGCTCGCTCTGGTTTTCAAGGTCAACGTTCCTTGCCTGATAACCCATGTCACGCATCTTCTGCCTACACTGTGCTTCGAAATGTCCATACTTATGGCAGTAGTGACACACTCCTGTAGCTGCTTGGGCTTTTCCTTTACCTTTTCCTTTGTGTCTGAAGAAACCTCTTCCTCGACCTTTGCCTTTTCCTTTGTAACCTCTGAAACCTCTACCTCGGCCTTTCCAGTTGCCTCGACCTCTGCCTTTGCCAAAACCTCCGAAACCTTTACCTTTACCTTTGCCTTTGCTGTCAAAGCCGAAACCTTTTCCGAAGTCCTTTCCACCTTTCTTGCCTTTTCCTTTACCTTTGCCTTTATGGTGAACATAACCTTTGCCATAGCCTTTCCTTCCTTTGTACCATGCTTGGTTGATATCCATTGCTGCAAGACCACCATGGTCATCACCTTTGTCGATCAAGTCTGTTGTGGTTCGGTGAGGTGTTCCTTGCTGGGCTGCTAAAGAGTTAGTCCAACGCTCGGTTGACTCATAGTTCACAAGGTACTGACGAAGAGTATTGTACTGTGTCTTCTCATCCATGTTGAGCAACAAGTGCCTTTTCACGTCAGGTTTCATACCTTGGATAAGAGTAGATACTTTCAAATTCTCCTGTACCTTTTCTCCAGTCGCCTTCTCGTACTTCTCGATGTGTTCCTCATATTCGAGGATATTCTCAGCAATTCCTTTGTTGTGAGCAAATTTGTAGTTGAGAATGTTGTGAAACAACTCCAACGATCTCGCACGATTCGTTGGTTGATATTCCTTGAGTAGCATACGGTAAGCTTCCATACCGTTTTCCTCAGCTACATGCTTTACAACTCGGTACGGCCTTCCTTTAGTGTACGAACAAAGAACACTGTACAGGCGTCGGCTTGTTTCCTTTGCTTCTGCAGACATCTCAGCCATCTTCACTTGTTTATCATCTTTTAGGTTCCTTTCTGCGATGTCCATGATCTTCACCATGTTGGAATCCACTGCTCCAAGCCAGATCCGCATCCTGTTCCTGAACTCTGTCCATCCACTCTTCTCTTCTTGCCATGTTCCTGGGGAAAATGCTTCGGGGCTTTTAATCAGCTTGTGCAACTCCACTTCTCCAGGCTTTCTTTGTTCCTTTACTGCTTTCTCCAGAGATGCTCCTATCTCCTCAAGTGTCGTTGCTGCGTTCGTGTGGGCGTCTGCCAACGCTGTTTGTGCTGTCTTCTGTTGTTCCTGAACTGCTGTCAGGGTTTCCTGGAATGCTTGTGTGAGTCCTGCTTCTCTTTGACTTCCTGAAGCTGCTGAGTTCCTGATCTCCTCTGCTAGTGTTTGTATTCCTTGTAAGGTCTGTGCATTGATCTCGGCAAGTGCCTTCAATGCATCCTCCATTCCTTTTGCTGCTTCAAGGTTGCTGTACACTAGTGCTGCTAAAAGTAGTGACCTGCACTGTTTCCTGCTCACTGCTTGTGCTCTCCTTTCTCCTCTTGTCTTCCTTTGGTGCTTCGAGCGGTTGCTTGCTCTTGCGAAAAACAAACTAGAATAGTACGACAGGGTGATCCAAGTAATCAGTCCCATTGGGGTTCCTAAGAACACTGCTATGCGAATTCCTTGAAATACAACTCTGTTGGAAATGACTTCCTGAACTATCACATGCACGACGTCGTGAAACTTCTTTCCTACGGTTGCTAGCTTTTCTACGAAACTGTGAACATGTTCCTGTACAACTTTCCTCAGTACTTCTCGCTGTTGTTTTACTAGGTACCTAGGGGCGTAGCCTGACTCAAGGCTCTCACTCTCCTGGTTCTCGGTGTTCTGGTGGCCGTTCCTGTTCTCTTCCGTGTAGTACTCGCCGGTCACGCTAACGACGCTGTAGAGCTCGTTCATCACTTGGTTCGCGCACAACAAAGCGTACGGTACCATGACTTTTCCTATCTCCACATAGTCCTTAATCGTGTACGCGTTCGTGTTCCTGATCGTGTTCACGTTGGTGCCGTCGGGGTTCACGCTGCACTCGTTGTAGCCTTGCTGGTAGTACTCGCCGTACACGTCATAGTTCCTGTAGCGGTTCCGCGTATTGGGGCGTATTGGGCTTCCTTCTGCTCGACCACACTGCCATGAGCTCGCTCTCGTCACTCTCAACGTACGGTAGTTCCTTTCTCCCACGGCTCGCTTCCTTGGAGGATAAGGCGTCTCCAAGGGCAAGTTCTTCCTTGGTCTCCACTTTGTTGCCAAGGGCCTGCCACGGTCTCACCGCCATACTTCCTGCTCCTGGGACCAAGATCATCCCGCACAAAGTTGCGAGGCTTCCCAGTGCGAAACCAACCAGCAGCACCATACATGCTGCCAAACCGTAGCACTTCATGTTCCTTTTCTCTTTCTCTTCCACCAACACTCGGTCGGGGTAGCAATCGCTGCAAGCGTCAAAGTCTCGCGCATTTCCTGCTGTCACGTTGTGGTTACGAAGGTGTCCACAACCTCTGCGGTGGTACTTTGTTCCTGAACGGACTGCGATCCTGAGCGTGGGCATGTTGAGCACTGTCTCTGTCTTCTTGGTGATCTGCTCATTCGCGCGCATCTGCTTCCATCCGGCAACGAGGCAAACTGCCATGGCGCCGAGCATCATGGTTCCTATGGCTACGAGTAGCATAATCGCTGCCAAGGAGGTTCCTGGAGGCAGCTCCGCTACCATGTTAAAGAACGGGCTTCACTAAGCTTCCTACTCTCAAACTGAAGCGGTCACTTTTCCTTGTGGGTCACTGTGTCCGCTGGTCTTGAGCCTTGCACGTCGCGTGTGCGTGACGGCTGTTCCTGTACATTAACTGCACTGCACTAACTGTGTTACTGTTCCTGGCAAGATGTTTAACACCTCGAAAGAAGAGGCATGCTTTCCTTTGTGATTGCCTTCAAGGCCTTCCAAACTGCACGGCAACAAATTTGCCTACAAGCATGTTTGGGATTCGGGATGCAAGGAACAAAATCTATACATGTGTCGCCTCACAGTAGCTGACTCCAAGAGTGCACTCGCAGAGAAACGCACTCGGTCTTCGTCCAAGGCATGCGGGACGTACCCAGTCCAGGCCGCGACTCAACAAGTCATTTGACTTGGAGGGGTGAAAAAGAAAGAACCTCTGACCTCTACGGACCTGCCTGACTTGTGGCGCGGTATCGCTGCACACAAGTGTTGCTCAAGCAGTCGTCGTGATTTCAAGTGGCACGCGGCTGATCTCAAGTACTCAAGCGCTCATGTCTCAAGCATCTGTTCGGCCCGATACTAGCCACAAGAAAACACTGGCTCACGACCAGTTCTAAGAGATTAAGTCAAGTGACCCAAGCATTTCAAGCGCTACTGGCATGAATCAAGAGTGTTGACAGGTATCTGTTCGTTGTGCAAGACGTGTGGGCATTGCAACATCGTGGCGCACATTCAAGAATGCAAGTCATCATGAGCATTACACATCAAGAATGTTGTTGACTCAGTGATCGGAGACATCACTCTGACCATCGGGTTCAGGCTCACCAAGCGGGAGCTCAAGCACAGCCACACGAGGAGGCGCACGCAAGCGCTCAAGCACAGTGTATATAGGTCCTCCAGAACATGCAAGGCCTCAGTCCAGGCCGTACGCGAAGCACAACATGAAGCGGATCTCCGAAAATTCGGCGGGCACTGCGAAGTCCACGACAATCCCTCAAAGAATGCATGCACTCGCCATACTGCGTATAGTACACAAACAAATCATTCGGATCATGGCGAACGGTGACCGTTGCTGGAGGCAGGGCTGGAGCCTGCTTTGGCACCGGCACAATTGCCGTCACAGGCACATCGTTGGATCCGGCAGCGGTGGAATCATGAACATCAGAGGACTCGCTGCTGCTGTCCCCGCCAGGGTCTGACACATCTGGCTCAAGCTCAGGCTGGATCTCATCAGCAGGCACATGTGCACGGCAAAATCGCAAAACAATCCACATGATCATGCAAAAGATTGCGAAAACTGCAAAGCCGAGGAGGCCGTAACCGCTCAAGGTGTCTCCCCGGCCTTGTGCCGCGCATGCAGTAAAGGAATCAACGATTGTCAACGCCTGAAGCAAGAGGCTCAGCCTTGAAGCGGGACCTCTGTACGCGCGAACCGCTCGCACAGCGGAACTGATTGCAGCACGATCCTCATTTGCCGTGGCTTCGGCAACACCAACAACCTCATCTGAGTCCATGAAGCAGATACCGGATACGATCAGCTTTCAGAGCTTTCGTCTGCAAATCTGCTAAGTTCTCAGGCCTGGCACAGCACTCAAGCGTAATTGGTGAGATCGCACGAGGTCTTGCAACCACAGCAGCCGTAAATCAAGATGACGCAATCGCCCTAGTCCTTGCCTGACAAGGAACTGGCGAGCAGAAGCACTGTCATTGTACACTATCAATTCGGCAGGGCGCTGGGTGCAAAACGACACAGCTTCACGAAGAAAGATCCCTTCAGCACAGGCAGCCGTCAGGGCTAGAAGTTCAGCTTCACATGACGATAAGCTGATCGACTTTTGGGTGCGGCTTGAACTCGCAACCACATTGGAATCAATCAAGCATACGCATCCGCTCACAGATCGGCGGTTTGCTTTTGAAGCACCCCAGTCAGAATCAGACATAATCTCAACAAGCGAAGATCCTTCATTCGAAGCTTGGGCACGAATGCCAACACCCGGAGATGTGGGAGACATCGATGGCGCATAGCCTGCAGTGCCCTTGGCATACCTTTTCGCAGCACATCGAATGCTCGCTTGCTTGGGAATGACATGTGCTGGCACAGCAGTCGACTAGCGAATTGCAAGTCGCCGCAATTCTGGCTCATATTCATAAGTACACCTACAGCACTGCGGAAGGTAGCTTGATCAGCTGAAGACAAACTTGTGGCGCGAAACCGCCGCACACAAGTGTCGTTCGAACATTCGCCGTCATCACGAAGGTTCTCGTTGCTCCACGAAGGAAGTGGGGTACGCTTGATGGCAGCATTCTGAAGTCCCAGCATATCAAGAAGCTTGCTCAAATGCTTGGTGGAACGACGAATAATCAGCACACCATCACTCGAAAGCACATGCTTCCGTTTCAAGAAAAAGATCTCATCGCCTTCCTGAATCATCATCTCTGCTGACACCTTGTATTTTGATTTGATCACCTCAAGAACACTTTCAAGCCGGTTCCGCAAATCTGACGCTAGGGTGTCATCTACATGCAACATGCCCGCATTGGGCACTGGGTCGTGCTCACCTTCACGGGACTTCAAGCGATAAAGGGCCTCACAGCCCCGCCACAACTCGGCACCGGCATTATCAACCAGAAAAATTGTGAAGGCATTGAACCACCCTTTAGAACCCGCACGTTGCCCCGGTAACATGTAATCCAAAGCATACGACCCCCCATAGCCTAACGTAACTATGGTTGGCTTGTCTTGCGGAACGGTTAAGTAGGCGTCCGCCATGTTAGCAGATAGCAAGATGGCGCCATCAGCACCATACGATTGCCTCAGAGCCGGAAGTACTCGATTCAGAATGGCCTGAGAGGCTGGTAAATACAGATTCTCCCGAAAGGGATCGCATCTTTTGTTTTTTTAAGCTACAAGTTGTAACCGAAACAACAGTGAGGGAGCTTTAGTCACAGGATGGGGCTTTGGGCGGAAGCTTCGCACAAACCTTTTTTGGCTTGACTGGGCCTCGTCGACTACGGCTGTAGCACTCGGTCCCTACAAACAAGCGAAACTACAATCCAAGCATCAAACTACAACAAAGCGGTGAAACAGCAAAGCGAAGCTCTACAAAGGGCTGCGGCGCACAGGCTTTGCCGGTGTTAGCCGTTCAGCACAAACTACGGAGCCTCAGCGACCGGTCAGGAGTAACAAAGAGCCGTCGCTCAGAGCTGCCCAAAACAACAGGTGGGGCCAAGTCCAGGCTCCAGTTGCCGTTCTAGTCTCGCCAGACAACGGACAACCCCTGTGTTTTGTTCCGTCACAATCGTGCACACCAAAATCCAAAAGTCCAAGGCCCACTGCATGCGTGGGCGGCTACTAGCTTCACCCTGGGCCCTCGGTGGAATTGAGATTGGCTTAAACGGCCTGGTACAAGGCCTTCCCCTGGCACCGGCGGTTTTACGCTTGAAAACACAATAAATCCGGAGCCGGCCCTGTCACCGGCGCTTTTTTCGCTTCAAAACAAAATAAAACAGGAACCGGGCCTAGTGCGTGTTTCTTTTGCGTGACAAATAACCAAAACCAGAAGTTGAGGCCAGCGAAAGATACCCGACAGGTAGCTGAATCTGGCTTGTGGGTAAAGTCTCGATTCTGCACGGCTTACTTCGAATGCATATCGGGGTGGGGACACTGTTACAAGCAATTTTAAACACAAATTCAAAGCAAAATCAAGCAAACCATGGCTGGCCCTAGTGGACTTTGATAGTTTTTTCGGGTGCCATTCGCTTCCCCGCACAAGGGCACTGGACGACTGCGCCACGATGAGGCTGCCACCATTTGCAGCCGAAAAATAATCGTTCTTGAGGCTTCGCATAGCGCCTAGAGGTTTTGAACAAATGTTGGGTGCCATTTAGCTTCCCCTCGCAAGGGTACTGGACGACTGCGCCACGATGAGGCAGACACCCGTTGCAGCCGAAAAAATTCCGTCCCCGAGGCTTTCTTAGCAGCCTCGGGGGGCCCACCCCACTCGGGGGGATCCTGAATCAGATTGGATGCCAAGCAGGCGGCTGTCCTCGCCACAAGAATCCCTCCACATTCTTGATATGCACGGTCTCCACGGGAAGATAAAGTCCATCCTGGGCACTCAGGAATCCCTCCACATCCTTCTCAATGCACGGTCTCCGCGGGAAGATAAAGTCCAGGCTGTCCTCGCCACCAGAATCCCTCCACATCCTTCTCATGCACGGTCTCCGCAGGAAGATAAAGTCCATCCTGGAATCCCTCCACATCCTTCTCATGCACGGTCTCCACGGGAAGATAAAGTCCATCCTGGGGCACTCAAGAATCCCTCCACATCCTTCTCATGCACGGTCTCCACGGGAAGATAAAGTCCATCCTGGGCACTCAGGAATCCCTCCACATCCTTCTCAAGCACGGTCTCCGCGGGAAGATAAAGTCCAGGCTGTCCTCGCCACCAGAATCCCTCCACATCCTTCTCATGCACGGTCTCCGCAGGAAGATAAAGTCCATCCTGGAATCCCTCCACATCCTTCTCATGCACGGTCTCCACGGGAAGATAAAGTCCATCCTGGGCAATCAAGAATCCCTCCACATCCTTCTCATGCACGGTCTCCACGGGAAGATAAAGTCCATCCTGGGCACTCAAGAATCCCTCCACATCCTTCTCATGCACGGTCTCCGCGGGAAGGTAAAGTCCAGGCTGTCCTCGCCACAAGAATCCCTCCACATCCTTCTCATGCACGGTCTCCGCAGGAAGATAAAGTCCAAGCTGTCCTCGCCACAAGAATCCCTTCACATCCAGAAGATAAAGTCCATCCTGGGCACCCTGAGTGCGCCAAAGAGGGCCGGCATTCTGATTCTGACCATTCTCCGCTTCCCGAAGCCTCAATCACTGCCTTGGCGGGACCTGCGTTCCTCGTTCCCTGAAAGATCACCCTCACACTATGGCTCTCGTTCCTCGTTCCCTGCAAGATCACCCTCACACTATGGCTCTCGTTCCTCGTTCCCTGCAAGATCACCCTCACACTATGGCTCTCGTTCCTCGTTCCCTGCAAGATCACCCTCACACTATGGCAATGGCTCTCGTTCCTCGTTCCCTGCAAGATCACCCTCACACTATGGCAATGGCTCTCGTTCCTCGTTCCCTGCAAGATCACCCTCACACTATGGCAATGGCTCTCGTTCCTCGTTCCCTGCAAGATCACCCTCACACTATGGCAATGGCTCTCGTTCCTCGTTCCCTGCAAGATCACCCTCACACTATATGGCAGCGGATGGCACAACATACAATCAACGGTCCACGGTCAGAGCAAGAATCCTGCAAAGACACGCACACCTTAGACACGGGCCAACATTTTTCACACAGCTGTCACTGAATCTTGAAATGGTGCCTTGCTGCCGCCATGCCGGATGGAAAATGCGTTGCATGACAGTGTAAGTCAAAAACTCAACATGCCTGCCTGATGGCTGATGGCTCACCGCCTAAGGCGTGCCCATTGCTCTTTCAGAACCTTCGCAGCTTCTAGAAGCATTTCAAACGCTTCATTCTCCTGGCCTAACTCTGAGTCTCGTGGATTACGGATTTTTTCTTCTTGCATGAAATCGAGAAAGTCGCTTGCATCTTTCAGCGCAGATGCATGGGATGCCCCTTGCAAGAGTCGCTTGTCCAGCTCAGGGAAATACGGGACCGAATCAACCCATGGGACCTCGACGAGCTTGCGAAAGTTGCCGTACTCGTCCATGGATTCCACCATATCTTCGACGCACTGAAACAGCACAGCTGATGCCTGTTCTTTGGGATTGCATCTTGAAACCCCTAGTCTTACATCTCTACACAACAAATCTTACATCATGTCCTGACTCCTGACCACTCTTCGATTTCAACTCCAAACAACTGACAGGCCTGGCACACTTTCTTGTTCTCATCGCTTGCCATGCAAGCTGCTGCAGTCAAAACTTGTCTTAGTTGCACGGCACGGTCCTTCACCTTGCCATCGTCGAATCCATGCAGTACCAACATCTGCAACATGACGTTCATCAAGTGCCCCTCAGACAAGCGCCCCGTCTGGATGATGATCATGATCTCCGGACAGTAGCTGGAGGGATCGCTAAGCAGTGCAAGCAGGCTAGCAACTAGAACCCGTAACATGAACATGGCAGCGGATGGCACAACATACAATCAACGGTCAACCGGTCCACGATCAGAGTGAGTGGCACATTCTGTGGCCAAGAATCCTTCAAAGACACGCTGCACACCGTGGGAACATTTTTCACACAGCTGTCACTGAATCTTGAAATGGTGCCGTGGTGCCTTGCTGCTGCCGCCATGCCGAGTGGAAAATGCGTTGCATGACGTTGCAAGTGAAGAAATCAAAATGCCTGAATGGATGCCTCAGCGCCTAAGGCGTGGCTGCACTCAGTTGATGTTGATGGCCTCTGAGGTGATGATGCATTCATCTTTGGTCTTCTTTGGCTTTGTGGCTTTCGCGGCGACGGGTGGATCCACTGCTTGCTCTGCTGAGCCGGCTGAGCCTGCTGACTTCTCTACGGCTTCAGGCCCTTGAGGCTTCGATGGTTCTGGCTTGCCCTTGTTGTGCTCACCCTCACCTGTTGCCAAACCGTCATTTGGCTTTGGGGACTTTGGGGCCTGGGGCTGGGGCTCCTCGCGCTTGGCTTGCTCGGCTTGGGCCGCTTGGGCCTCAGCGGTTCCGGGTGCCTCAGCTGAACCCTGGTGCTTGTTGGGATTCTCCGCCTGGGACTCGGCCTTGTCTTCATCGGCTTGGGTGCTTTGGGGTGCCTGGGCCGCCTCGGTCGGGATGGCAGTGCTGGCCGCCGGCTCGGTCGGGATGGCAGTGATGGCAGGCGGCTGTCCTCGCCACAAGAATCCCTCCACATCTCTCTCGAGCACGGTCTCCGCGAAGACCCATCCGGATGGAAGATAAAGTCCATCCTGGGCACCCTGAGTGCCCTGCCTCAAATGGCAAGCTGTCTTTTCCAAGTCCTTTTTCGTAAGGTTCAAGAACCTCTGCCAAAGGGCCCCGGCATTCTGATTCTGACCGCCGTTCTCCGGCTCTTCCAGAGACAATGCCTCAATCACTGCCTTGGCGGGACCTGCGACGATGCACCTCGTTCCCTGCAAGATCACCCTCACACTGGCCAGTTCATCTGGCTCGGCGCCGGCGGTGACATTCCCGGCTTGCACACCAAAGTGATGGAGCTGGCATTCCTTTTCCTTGCCCTCAGCCACTTTCAAGATCTGCTCGCCCTGGCCCTGGAGGACCGTCTGGAGACACGAGAGGGCCTCGCCTGTCATCTTGGAACTTGCACGAGCCTTGGGCCTTTCAGCAGGAGGCTTGACCATGTTCTGTCTCTCCAACGTACTTACACGCTCTTTGAATGCAATGTGGAACTGCTTCATCGCGCTCTTCAGGCTGTCCTGAGCTAAACACAACACGTCGCCTCAGGATGTGCTGGACTGCTCTCATGATAAGTCTCATGGCATGCAAATTCGAGGCAAACAAGATGCATAGAAATGTGCAAACCAGGCACTTCCTGGGCAAGGGCGGTGGCAATCTCATCAGGGAGCCGGAACATGAAGGGCTGGTCCATGTTCGCTGAGCCCAGATCCTTCAAGTCTTTGATCTGGGCAATCTCGGCACAGACGTCCAAGCCGTGGTCAAACAAGACAAGTGGCTTGGACTTGCCGGACTTGCTGTCCTTCTCCTTGAAATTCTTCTTGGCGGACTTCATGCTGGCCACGCGCTGATCGTGGGCTGTGACGGCCTTCCGCAACTCTTTGATGCTTGCTTCGAGCGCGGATCGAAGCTCGGTGATCGGCTTGCGATCTGCTGCTCGTGCTTTCACAAGCTCCTGAAGCTGCTCCTTGCTCTGGCATTCCCAGAAGAGCTGTTCCTGCGTAGACTCTATCGAGTGCAGAGTCACGAGCTTCTCGTAGTTGTCGATGGGAGGAGCCATTTGCAACTGCCGTTCCCACCCTGTCGCCGTGGCCGCCCCGGCCCCGGCAGGCCCGGCACCATCCGCAGCCGCCGGAGCGCCTGCCCCGTCCCCTTCGGCATTGTCCTTGTCCTTGTTCTCCGGCTTCTTGCTTTTGTCTTCGGGCTTGTACTCGTCGATCAGCAGCTGAAGGTCCCCGGATTTTTCACCGAGCACCGACTGCATAAAGACCAGCCTTTTCTCCACTGAGTCTTTCTCAACCTTGCAATCCGGCTCCGCTCTCTTGCCGCGACTCTTCAGAAGTGCCAACACTTCGTGCGCCGAGTTGGCTTTCTCCTTCAATGCCACCGAGAGGTTGACCAAAATCGTTTTCTCTGCACGAATTTTGGCAGAGATCTGAGTGTCTCGATCCCATCTGCTTTTGGTGCCGCGACCGCGACCGCCACGGCCGCCCTTTCCTCTGCCTCTGGATTTGTTCCTCTGCTTTCCTTTCTCAGAATCACCCGAACCATCCTCCTCATCCGAAGGATCCTGCTCATCTGAGCCGCCTGAAGATCGTGCGGACCTTGCCCTTTTCTTCTCAGCGCTGGGCGGAGTCTTCGCCGTTGCAGCTTTCTTGGAACTGCCGGCTGCTTTCTCTTGGTCGTCCCCTGACTCAGAATCCTCGGCCTCTGACTCCTTGGACACTGCTTAGATTAGAGTCCTACACTTCCGCGACACTTCCGCGACACTTCCGCGACACTCCCGCGACACTCCCGTGACTGGCTGCTGACATCAACGCAACAATCGCACTCCACACGGCTCTGTGTCATGGCTGTCGTCTCAAGAACTTGGAACCTCAGACCTGAACAGCCTGGCCCTCTCAACTCAATCAGCTGAGCATCTAGGTCTTTCTGCAAGGCCTCGACATCCACATCCATGTTCCCTGGTGTGTAAATGGATCCGGCCTGGCCTGCTCTGAGCATCTCTCTGGCTGCACCCATTGCATCACCGATCAAGTTCCGGTGCTTTGTGAGATCCTTGAGCTGGGCTCCCTCGTCCTTGAATGTGGTTTCCCGGGCGTTCGTTGACTTCTCCTTGTCCAATATGTTCTTCAAGTGGACTTTGGAGGCGCTGATCACACCGATGCGCAGTGACCCGTTTTTGCCTCTTTTATCGTACAGCACATCTTCTGTTTCGGGGTTCTCGTTAATCAGTGCTTCGTACGCTTTCCATTGGGCAGATGCTTGCACCATGGTCATTCGACCCTGACCCTCGGTCAGTGTCTCCGTCACAAACTTAAGGTATGCATCCTCCGGCAGCATGTCATATACGTCATCGTACTCCACACGGCTTTTGGTCACGACCCGCTCAAGAACCTTGAAGACCTCCTTTCCTGACACCTGAACCGAAGCAGTGTCTATAAAGCAACATAGCGAGAAAGTCGCTTGCATCTTTCAGCGCAGACTAGATGCATCATGCATGGGATGCCCCTTCCAAGAGTCGCTTGAGGCTTGCTTCGGCTTGCTTCAAAGGGCATGAAGAAATGGCAAGGGCACTGCACACTTGAAACTTGAAACTAGCCTGGCCTTCTTGGTGCTGCCGGTACCGTCATCGCCTGTCAAGTCCTTGTACGTCTTGAGTGCTTTTGCCAGCTTGGCCTCGTCCTGCCTGACTTGGCTCCACCACTCAGACTTCCCCTGGGCCTTGCAGATTCGAGTGAGGTTGTCGACCTTGTACTTGCACTTTGTGCAATGGGAGGACTTGTTGGCCATGTTCTCAGGAGGGAAGAACAAAGTGCAGGCTTTGCATTTCCTTGTGTGCGTTTTGGTGGCCTTTCTTTGACCAGCAATCACCTTGGCTTTGGCTTTGGCCTTGGCCTTTGGGGCGGTTGACTTCCCGCTTCCTTGAGCGCTTCCTGCGGCGCTGCTGTTCCGGCTGGTCCTTCTCCGTTTCTTCTTCTGTGCAGAGCCCGAGCCACTGCAGCCGCTGCCTTCACTGGCAGACTCTTCGGCTTCGCACTTTGGACACATCCACATTTCGTCCGCTTCCAATTCCATCGCATTGTCCGCCTTGTCCGCCATCGCGCTGTGCCACGAGGTGCCACTGAAAAATCAAAAGATCGCTCGGTCCATAGCAGAAACGACAGGAACATGTGCTTCTGTCTGTGAGTGTCTGCGTCTCTGTGCAAACAACTCGGGAGCACAGAAAGCTGCAAGCTGCTTGTTTTCCCAGACTCACAGCAATCACATCGCTGGGTGCAGGTGCAACAGACCACGGCTGCCACGGCTGACTACATCAGTCATGAAAAGCTACCGTGCCTAAAGCAAACAACAACACCTGGCCGACAAAGGCCAGATGCATGCCGTTTCCCATGAGATCTAAAACCTGGGGCGGGCTACATCCTGCTTGCCTCAGAACTTGCTCGAAATCGCAGACTTCTAGTGCAGCATGCCCTGGTGAAAGAAGAACCGGGAATCCCTGCATGCCGCAAACTTCCAGAAAATGCACTGGCCGCATGTCTCGATCACGGTTCAACCCATCCATCAGCAAACGGGTGGATGTCAGCAGGGTTGGGACATGATGCTGTTGCAAAATCTTCAGGGGGGGTTGGAACCTGAATGACTGAGTGAGGTTCACCAGCCATTGCACACTACAGTCACAGCCGGAGCCTGGCTGTTGGTGGCATTGGCATCTATGCCCATCCAAAACCTCTGTACGTATCTCATCTACTAGCCGTCGATGAACACCAGAAAGGAGAGCTATCCAATTCCAGGAAGCCGCTTGCCCCCTGGAGTTCACCCGCTTCCTGGGCAGACCCCTCTGCTGTGCCGCATCTGCCTGCATCTGCTCGAGCTTGTCTTCAGGGCATCGCATGTAGACAATGCCAGTCAGCATCATCGAGGTTTTGCAGATGGACTCCCACAAGGATGAGCCAAGACCTGGCCCTGGAGAGAACGAGCATCGGTCCTTCCTAATGCAGAGAGTGTATCTACGCACACGCTCCACTGGATGCCCAATATCTCTGGGCGATCCCACGACTGTTGAGATTGCATAGACGTCCTGTTCTATGTTGAGAAAGTCAAGCAGCACCTCGGGATCGAAGTTCGGCACACACTCGTGTGCGATCACATCTGGCTTCATCTTGGACATGGCAACTGCCCACACCAAAAATGGAATGGACACATCATGCAACCAACCAAGTTGAGTGCCATGGGCAGA